TATCATTTTATAGGGATGCATTTTAACTTATTTTCATATTCTGATTGATTCGGCCGTTTTTGATGAAGATCCATAGTAATTTCAAAAACTACACCTCACGATTTGATCTTCACAAACTTTATTTTGAAAAATATATCACAACATGTTTCGCTAGCACAGTAGCTTTCTCAAGTGATTTATACTTTAAGTATAAATTTTATACTCAAGTATAATTTCTTTCAACATGTTTACTATCGATGAATGGCTAACATTGAATGTAGTGGATGCCTATCTAATCGATGTATGTGGGTTTTCCTCAAACTCAAGCATCACATCTAATTTGAGTTCATCACTCATTGCATTGGCAGCTGTTTTTTTATCTGCCCCACATGACTATGTTCGCGAAACAGCTTCTCTATTTTGCTTATTGTTCCATGACATATATAAGGTAATTCAAAAAATTTCTCATGAAATAGGCAAGCTACTTCCTGTTGTGTTAGGGTTTTTTTCTCTGTAACCAATCATTTGTAAAACTGTTATTTTATGCATTTTCGTTAATCTAACCATTTGTCAGACTTGAAGTTAACGTACTTTAAACCTAACTTAAAATACTGACAACTAATGTTGTAACATAGAAAACAAGTTGACAAGGCATTTTAAACTAATAGAAATTATTTACATGGAAATTATTTACAGTTCTTTAAATGATACGATCTGAAAAGAACATTGCTATGGTTTTTGCCTACTGTCCTATTATCAATACCTCAATATGAAATAAGTTTTTAGTATATTGCAATAAGTTTTCAGTGTATTTTATCGAATTTAGGTAACCACATGATTTTAATTTATTTTATCTTAATTGTTGCAATATATTTGTAAGCGATAACATTTTTGAAAAGAGAATGAAGGTATCTTTCAAACGATATATCACAAGCCTGTATTACTATATTATATACTTCCCATTTAAAAAATTGGGGGTTGTACCTGTTATTCAACGAGGGTTTAAGGCAGGGGTATCATTTTTCCCTTGAAGTATATCAAATTGTAATTTAAATTATAGGTTTTTCGGGATTTTGTTAAAATATGTACCGTATCCCAAAGTCTTCATTTGAACACCGTATATAGCCATTATCTTGATATGCAGTCGTGGAAGTGAAGAAACAATCCATCCAAAACCATGCGTACAAAGCCTATCTCATGGCTAATTTAGTAGTTAACACCGCTAGAATGGCGTTAACGAGAGATCTAAGGATGCTGTGACGTACTGTTTGCGTTAGAAATTAAAAAGAACAGACCACAATTCAAGTTGCACGTCACACCACTGGCTTCTTTCATCGAATGGAATCGGTTCAAAAGAGTTCATTGTTAATACGATCTATTTTAAAAGATAAATTCGAATGTATGTACATGTCCGTTGTGTAAATGGATGCTTAAGAGGTTAGGATCGTAAACCGGGGGTTAAATCGAGGAATGAATAGCAGTTGGTGCCTAATCTAAATTAATTCATGGCCTTCTGATGGACCGACTCTTTGTTGGTATGGGAGTTTTCTAATGAGTAGGAGAAAATTGGTTATAAATGAAGTATATTGTTGTTGGACAGAAATACATGCATTTGCTTGTTTTTCAAGGTACTACCCGAATAATTTAAAACTTGAGTTAGGTACATAAAATACAGGGTATAGACTTGAAAACTTTACACATAAATACCTTCCTCCCGGAAAAAAACATGAAAAATTAGCAGGAAATATTGATTGTTTGAAAAAATTGTCCGTATTTATGAATCCACTTCAAACTGCAATAGCTCAGTGAATACGTATTCAATTCAATATGGTAGTCGGCTGGCGAGAAATCTGGGGAGTGTGGTGGGTGATTCAGGCCTTAGCCAGCTTGTGGCACTAGTTATATCCAGACGTAGTGGTAAAAGCTGCGGCAGTTCCGTTTTCTGTTTTCGAACCATCAAAAAACATGTTTGAACATGCTTGAAACATGAAATACTGTAGTGTTCTCATCCCCAAGCCAGTTTCAGAATAACTATATCAAAAACTCATTTCATCATTTAATAATGAAAAACAAAATCCGGTTTTGTGTTGCTGCTATCCGAAATTCCGAGGATAATTCTTCATGGGCCTGAGAAAAGCATTTCCTCATAGGTAGGACATAAAATCTGCTAGTACAGAAGGAAATGTGAATAGTCCAGCTACGTTAGGCTTGTAGAGAGAAACCTCATCGACTTTATGTTGATGATTGACACTACCTTGCACTGACGAGTGGCCAAACAGCCCGAAACCGGTCCAATAATTGAAAATCTATTGCGGCAGTTGTATCGCCACAGCATATGCAGGAAGGGCTTTTGTGAAGAATCCTCCACTGACACCTGTTCGTATATAATCCAACGCCCTTCGTGGTATTAGCCAGGGGAGTAGTTGTTTTCTGATAGGTGTCAGTCCACTAATCTACAGCGTAGGGAGTTGAGACTGGCCTGGAAGAATTTTTCCTTTGGATGATTTGACCTAAACATTTAATTTTACAAATCAAAATTAAAAATCCACACGAGAATGAATACCAGATACAATTGAAAGTGTCCGTATAGCTTTTTTGAACATGTTGACAAACATACATGTTTCTATTTGCGCATAGCGGAGGAAAATGTAATATTACACGTCTAAAACAATATTTACTTTCTGCCGCTCGTATTTAGTTGAAAACATAAATGACTATGGCTTCTGTATTCCAAGTGCTCTCAACAATAATTCCTAAAAATTCAACATTATCATTTGGTGGAAAACCTATATGAATTTGGGATACCTCAACCGAGTGTTTCAAGTATTCATAACATTTATTTTGGAATTATCGACATAAATGACAGTAGGTAATTTAAGTCGATAATTTGAACGGTAATTTAAACGAAATCAATAAATGTTTGGAAATTTCTAACAATATTTCACTATCACGAACTAATTTATATTCAACGCTTAGCAACTAACGCCTAATTTATTTCCACTATTTGAATTCCTTGTTTAAACGCTCGATTCACTTTCTGAATTCAACTGCCCTCTCTGGACGAGAACCGGCCTTATATATCGGTAGATATCTATTTTAGAATTCTGAAGTCTGTTCGGTACCCTAGAATTTTCCCGGCGATTTCAGACTGCATTCTTTCGCGGTGAGTCATGTATTTATTCGATGAATCGGCTGGCGTATGGATCAGGGGCAGATTCGTTACAATATTAACTTCTATGTGAGCTCCAAATGAAGCTCATTGCAATTTAAGGCAGTAATGATGCAAAACGAAAAAAAAATTCTAGGAACAATTTTGTTCATATCAAGGAGTCGAAACAACCAAAAAGTTATTTTAGAACGGTTTAATATACCTACTTACTTCAATTTCATAAATCACATAAGTCTGATGACTGTATCGAGGTGAGGTTCATACTACATTGGCTGATAAGTTTTGGGTCTAACACATAGATGACGCTAGTTTCATTGCATTCACTGCTTTTTCAATAACTACTAACCTTCATAAGAAAGCTGTTGAAATTTCATGATATTCTTGTGAGTTATTGTGCTAAGATTGACACTACTTTTATTATTTTGAAAACAATGTATCAAAAACAATTTCTTATTTAAATTTTACACTGCTTCTTGACAGGAAAAAACCGTCCAAGCGAAGCAGTGCTTGAAAAGTGTTATTCCCAGATAACCACAGGCCAATGAGCTTAACCCCTTCCTTGAGCAAAGTGGCAGAACGTGTCATCCTGAAAAAATTAGAGGACCAAACCAGCGAACTAGGAATCCTACCAGATGAACAGTTCGGTTTCAGATCAGAGCACTCTACAGAGCCGCAAGTCCTGAGGGTAGTAGACTTTGCGGCGGAAGGCTTCAACCTCGGCAAAGCATACAACACTGGAACGATTTTCTTAGGCGTCTCCAAGGCGTACGACAGAGTTTGGCATGATGGCCAAAATCAGCAACTTTGGCTCCACGAAGAGATTCCGTGGACCAACGAAGCTAGATACGTGGGAGTCAACCTAGACAAAAAAAATAACGTAAGGAATGGCGACAAAACCTATTACCAATAATAGGTCGAAGAAGCAACATGGGACTGAAAGTGAAGCTGCTGATGATGAAGACCGTAATATTACCTATAATCCTGTATGCCTGCTCTGCCTGGGGCCAGTGCGCAGCGACATACAGAAGCCGTAAACGCTCCAAGATATGTATCGAATAGGTACATATTCCGGGATCTAGACCTGAACATACAGTACGTAGACGCATACATGAGGCAATACGCAGAGGACACGTTTGACAGAATTCGAGCGCACGACAATCCAGCGCTAAGCGGTCTACACAATGCACTAAACAGGGATGACCCTAGATTCCGAGAGAGGGACAAACACAGGCGGTCAACGAAGCAGAACCAGAGACCACCTCCGAGAGTCGGTATCAGACGGCTGCGGTAAATATAAAAATTTCTTAACCAAATTTCAAATTAACTTCATTTCCAGATTCACTGAGAATACTAGCTCGCGACAAAAGACACTTGTCTCTGGTTAGTTTTTGGGGACCCCTTGCAAAAATTCAGTTAGGAAAGGTACGATAAAAGAAAACATTAGATTAGAGAGTGAAAGCACCTAAAGGATCACTTTCGAGTAAAAGTGGTCAGATGTCAATCTTGCTGAAGTGCCCACAGTAAGTCGAGGACCGCTCCGGATTAGCACAACAATCGGCTAGAAAGGTTATGATATCAGTATTTTGTGATGCGCATGGTATATCTTGAGAAGGAAAAAACCATCAATAGCCACTATTACATATTGTTATGGGATGGTTTGAAGGACTAACTTGTAGAAAAACGGCCCGGTTCAAGTTTCCTCATGGACGAAATTCTTGCATATGTTTCGACAGGAATTTGGAAGACTCATATTTTATTTCGATTTACATGTCTGATTTCGTCAGAAAGCCTAATTCCTTCGGAATATATTGTAAATTTATTTTTGCAATGTGTCCTTATGTAGTAATCAGTAAACCCAACAACATTATTTTATTTTAACAAGCTATATAGTATGGTATAGGTTCGTCATCGTTATTAATCTTCTTTAAAAGATGAAGCTTTCCTAAAATATATCCACTTTTTCATTCTGGAAGAGGTCATAAGTTATGATTTACTGTATACTGTGATATGGTGACCTGAGGAAATAAATGAATATAAATAATTCAATTTGAACTGGTGTGAAAATAGACTGACCTGATTTTTCTCTCGCCCAGTTAAAAAGGTCAACAATCCAGTTGAATGTCCTCATCTCGTTGCACAAACTCATTATTTATAATAATTCAAACAATGCGTGTGCATCTGAAAACGATGCTGTTTCAATTTCTCAATTAAAATATTGTTGTTAATTGCTACATCTGGTCTACAAAGATAACAATGTTGTAAACACGTCTGATGAAACTGAATCTCGAAATACTCCCATTTCAAAACAATACTAGCATCTGCCGTGAATTCTACAGGTCAATTTTTCACGAGGCTATGCTTAATTGGAAAACTACAATACAGCTCCGCGAAATTGTAACAATTTACTATACGAGGGTATAGTTATTAGCCAATGAATGTATCTCTATTCTTAACAGAAACACACTACAGGCGTTTTTCACAACTTTAGACATTTGTAATAATATTCGGGTATGTTGAAAGAACTATTGTCTAAACTTCACAGAATACATTGATAAGTTTCAATGGTCAGTCAGGTCAGCGCTGGAATCCGCGTATCTGACATGGGGAAATGTTACGGTTGATTTTGACAACGGAATATGATCAAAGTGTTCTGGCGATGCATTGAATTTATTGGAGCCTCTGGAGACACCCTACATTTTGTTTTATAAGAGAGGACATTGTTAGATCAAGATCTTCAGATGATGTGGTGCTGCAGGTTTTTCCGGGTTTTCCTGCAGCTGAAAAAGCAAATGCGCCACTGGAATCAATGAAGTCGCCCCGGAGCGCCAATTAATTTTTATTGTTGT